CTCAAGACTCACCACTTTCTATTTATTTTCCTGTTATCTTCGCTCCTGAGCTTATTTACATCTGTTATATCTGGGAATACTATATCATGGTGTACCACTGTGCATTTCTTCCCAACCCTGCAGCCAGTGGTGTCACATTAGTAGCTTAAAATTGGTCATGGTAGGAGTATTTACACCATGAAATCAGCAAATGATACACATTAGGGCTCCCCCTGCCAAGAGCTGGTTGTTAAACATTAACCATCGGGCCACTCAGCCAGGGCCAGAGTGTCCCGTTAGTTTCTGTTGTTGTTTTGCTGAGTGTTGTCATGGGTGAAATAGAGGCTGTTTTCCTATATTGAGCATCCAGATTACTCTCTGTCTGTAGAATCACAGGCCGCAAAGAAGTAGCCATTCTTTTGGGACTCTGAATGATGGTCCCCTTTTGTGTATCAGTGTATAGTGATGTGCTCTCTCCGGAGAGTCTCGTGGGAGCCCTATGAGCGAGGCAAGATGACTGCTGGTGCGGCGACTGTGCAGAGGAGAAAGTTGAGACTCCCCGAGGTTATTTTCCCATGGCTGTCCAATTTGTAATCGAGGAACATGACATATAGAATTAGATTTTCTGACTGCAGATAAAATGAAAATGACACCGTGTGATGAACCTCATAGTCCTTAGGACACTGAAATTATTGAGTTCATGTGCCCCATCTTTCCTCAGAGGGGCTTGGCACTCTTTGGAATTCCGTTCACCTGAGGTCAGCTCAGGCGAGGAACTCAGGCTCTGAGGAACTCAAAAAAACGTTAAGTAGTGCAGCTTTTCCCCACCTATGCTGGAAGCAACTTTCTCTCGCAGTTTTCTTCATCGGAAACAGGAACAGATCTACTGCTTCCTTTTTCAGAAACTTTCAGACAAGTTTGGCATGGCCTGCAAAACCATGCAGTCTGATTTGCCTGCCTCTCCATCCAAATCTCGTATCGCTCTCCCCCCACCCTCACTGCGCTCCCCAAACAATGATCACAAATCCGCAGTGTGCCAGGCTCTTCCCCAGCCCAGAGCCTGTGCACGTGTAGTTGGCTCCACCTGCAGAGTCCTTCCCCTCTGTACCCGGATAACTCCAGCTCCCCCAAAGACCCTTCCTTGATACTATACCCCCTATCCAACTTGGTGCATAAATTACCTCCTCATTTTTTTTCCACAGCTGGACAAGAGCCCATTATCTGGATCTATTGTTTTAATTTAATCAGTCCTCTTGATGGTTATTTAGATTAATTTTCATCTTTTGTTTTTATAAATAATAATCTTTTATATAAAGCATATCCAGAGGATAAATTCCTGGAGGATTTCTGGATTAAACGGTACATAGAGACAGTTCAGTGTTGTGGTTAAGAGTCCGGGCTGTACCTCTGCCAGCATGTGATTTAACCTTTCCCCATACTTGTAAAATGAACATAATACCAGTACCTCTCTTAGTATTGTCATATAGAGCTTAGAACAGTGCCTAGCACATAACCTCTCAATAAACATCAATTGTTATTATTAGTATTTAAGATTTTAGAGTTTCTGCCCGTAAATGTGTTATCAGTTTAAACCTCTGTCAGCATGAGAATGACTGCCTCTTCATACCCTCAGCACAGTGTCTCACTAAACTACTTTTTAATCTTCGCTAACATGATGAACCTGAACTCTCCTAATAGTTTAATTAGTATTTCGCTTATTAAAAATAAAATTAAGTCCAGCTGGCGTGACTCAGTGGTTGAGCGTCGACCGATGAACCAGGAGGTCACTATTTGATTCCTGGTCAGGGCACATGCCCAAGGGTTGCAGGCTCGATCCCCAGTAGGGGGTGTGCAGGAGGCAGCCGATCAATGACTCTCTCATTGTTGATGTTTCCATCTCTCTCCCCCTCCCTCTCAATTCCTCTCTCTGAAATCAATAAACACTTTTTTTTAAAAAAAAAGAGTGAAGCTAAGCATATGTTCATATTAGTTTAAGTGCATTTGTACCCTGAGTCCTAACTGTTCCACATGTTTCACAGACTCCTGTTGGTCACTGACCTTTTTCTTGCTGATGTAGGAGTTCTTTATGTATGAGGGAGATGTGCCTTCATCTGTGCTGATTTAGTCTTTCATAGTATTTGATACTTTTTCTTCATAATACTTATTCCTATTTTTAATTATATCTTCATTTATTATTATTTTTAAAGCTCCATAAGATCAAGGCCCATGTTTTTTTGTTCCTCATTGTATATTGAACACCAATACACAAAGCTGAACACATAATAAATGATCAATAAATATTTAATGAATGGACCAAAAGTGACAAAGAGAATCTCAGTCCATAAGTAGAATTGGAAATTGGAAGGGAGCAATTTTGTATGGAAATGTGATGAGTTTGTTTTGGGATATTTGACATTTAAGCAACAGCCAGTGGTCTAAGTTGAATACGTACAATACTCTTACTTGGCAAGAGACTCACAAAGGTTTTGGATTCATCACCCTAAAGTGTTTGATTGGAAACAGATGATCTCAGATGGAGAGAATGTTCACAAACACTTCCAATCAGAAACAATTTCAAGTGGTTATAGTTGTTACAACAACTTTAAAACAAATCTGAAAATAAAAGGAAAATAGAAGCATTACCTATGTGCAAGTATAAAGATATGGGGAATGTAGAAAAAATTTAATGCCTTGGAACAATAATGATTGTTGAAAAGTAATTAGCTAGTATGTCGTAATTATGCCCCAATTACTTATTGTGAAGAAAAGAAACCTTTATTAATGGAAAACTGAGTTCATCATAATCACATAAGCTTGTGGAAATCAAAAGTGCTTTTTTTTGTATAACGTAGACTACTTGGTTTATCAGTATATTCTGTTTTTCAGTTTAAAATTGGACATTTATTGTGTTTTCTATTACCGAAATGTCACCAACAGTTACTTTCAATTTAGTCTCCAGGTCTGTTTTTTACAAATTATATTAACTGCATTTAAAAGAAGAACCCATTCAGTCTTTCAAAAAGAAATGCTTTTTTTTTTTTTTTTTTTCCAGAACAGAAAATTTGTTCTAAAATAAGCTATACATATTACTTAGTACACAGGAATATCTTGATGGCTATAGTCACCAAATAACCATTTGACTTAAATAGATCTGAATTGTTACCTTTAATAAGTCTATTGTGAAGTTGTAGACCCTGTTCAATAATTGTAAGAAAATCACCTGGGCAGGAATTCTATTCTGATGGCATAGGGAATGTGGTATCTCAATGTCAATCTCGATTTTCAAATGAGCCTGTGGATTAAAAAATGCTATCTTTAAAGTATACATTTTTTCTCCTTTTCATTAAAATCTGTGAGTTGAGAAATGAGAAGTATGGATATAATTGTGCTGGACAGACAAATAAATCATGTAGACAGAAGTCAGTCACATTAGGATGACTTTTGACTGAACGTCTAGCTGTCTTTGGCTTATTGATCAGAAGCCCTGGTATTTCTGGGCATTTTTGCCGTGAAAACAGGGCTTTTATGTACAGTCATCAGATCCTTCGCTGCCGATGAGGGGCTTGTCAGTGATGAATGAAGTGATCTGTAGCAAAGGCACAGACAACGTGAAGACAATAAGTCTGCTCGAACGGCTGCAGCAGCAGTATCACGGTCTGGCTGGCTGAGCACGTGCTGGCCATGGACCCTGGAGGAGCCCTGTGGTGTCACTTCTGGGGCTTTTAAGAAGCCAGTCAACTGCTTATGCTCAGTTCCCAGAAGTGCTCCTTTTCTACTTAATATAGGAACATTTGGTCATTGAGAGAGAAGAGAAACTCCTAGGTGGAAGGAAATAGTTATGAATTTTTGGCCAGGGTCTTATATTTCATACAACTTGTGTTAAAAGACTGGAGATGAATATAAAATAAAGCTTGTTTTGTTTTCCTTCATTATAAAAACATCCTTAGAGCCGTTCTCAAAGACCATTCTCTACAAAGCAGTGGTGATAGACTAAGGTTTTATTTCATTCAAATAGTCACAGTTCCTGCATTTTTGCCCTGCCTCCTGCTGAGACTTGGGTAAATGTAAGTCAGTGGTTTGTGGTTACAGCCAAGTAACTTTCTAAAGAAGGCTGCCTGAGCTCGGAGTCCGTTCTTTAGTGCGTTAATCTGTCTTATGCCTGTCAAAGGAGCTGTGATAAGTCAGTATCAAGGACAGAATCCAAAAGGTCAATTAAAATCCTGAGCGGTACTCAGGGATGGAGTGGAGGGGTGGAAACCATTGTGTTCTAGAAGGTTCTAATTGCAGTATCAGAGAAGGTGGCTGCCTCAGTATGGGCCTGTTCTCCTGGTGTAATGGGGACAAAAACGTACTCATTGACAGAAACAGGGCCAGAAAATTGCCTGCCCTCTTCAATCTGCATCTCTTTATAGCTGACTGACTGTTCTCAGTCCCGTTACAGAAACGGAAGTTAAGTTTAGCACATTGTTTGGCCGTTTATGTTATGTGCACAAAATTCTTAATTACCAAAATATAATACCACACTCCATTGTAAATCACTTTGCTAAACTCTTAAACTTCATAAGGAACTGTGACATGTCCAAAAGCTGCTTTCAAACCCGCGCTGATCTGGCACTCAGGCACCATTCCCTGTGGAGCTGAGTGCAAGGATGTAAAAGGGAGCCAGTTAAAGAAACTGAACTGGAATAGACGAGCAGAGGCTGCCTCCAGGCAAAAACTGTCCCCTGCACCAAAAATTTGTACTTGAATCCAGCGACAAACATGTTCACCACATGGAAATGACAGGTTATAACCCAGTTAACGGGGCTAACGCAGCTTATCTGTTCAGGACTTATTTAGGAAGCCCTAAAGATGCTAAGTGGGAAAGCTCATCAAAATTGTTTTAATTCCTCCTTCGTAGAAAATTACTTTGTATGAGAGAGAGACTCAAATCCTTGTAGAGATGTGGGAAGTCTGTGTCTAGGACATGAAGTTATCTTTATCGTCTTATTAAGTGTATTTTTGGTTTTCTTTCACTCCAGGTCTACCTTACGGATGGGAGGAAGCTTACACAGCAGATGGAATCAAGTACTTCATCAAGTAAGTACAAGCATCTCAACCAAGTAAGCAATTCTTTCACATCTGGAGGGAACCTGGAAGTTGCAGAATCATCAGCAAAACCAAGACACCCTCTTGGAGGTTACAAAAATTAGAAACAAGAAGTGAAGGCTCGCCATTTTCACTTCACATGATTTAAATGCTAATATCAAGTATCATTTGGGGAAAGAAAAAAACAACCCTAGTAACAATTTCAAGGGGACCATCCAAAAATTGCAACAGGATCATCACTGGAACTTAAATAGTGACTTCCTGGATTCACTTCTGGCTTAAGGTATTAATATGTATGAAAGTTAATCTAGTGAAAACTCCACTTAAAGATTCTTAATAATACTTGATGCTTGACAATGTACACAGTTCATATGTCTGCAAATACTTTTTGAACATTTGCTGTGTGCCAGGCAGTGCCCATGCCTCGCAGATTCCGTAGTGAAACAACCCACTAGTTCCCTGATGTCATGAAATTTACATAATCGTGAGGAAGGACAGGAAATAAGTAACTGAAGAGATAAACGAGACCGTGTGTGAACAAACCTTATCCTGGTGGATCCTCAGGACACCCTTTTAGGTATGTGTCCCATACTTTCTTCATTTGATAGGTTGTGGAAAAGAGGCTGAACCTGCTGAGGCCACATAGTAGTAGAATTACACAGACCCAGAGTTGTCTGGGCCTCCAGCCGCCGCCCCTACCACACGGGTGCACACACACACACAAACACACACACTGCACCAGCTCCAGCTCCTCGTTTTAATATGGTCACGAGACAAAAAACATTTTAAACAGATCCTCATTGAGAAAGAGCTCTATACTTTATCCATTTTAAAACAGCAGATTAGAAACTTAGTTTTAAAAATAATCCGTTATCTCCTGGAGATCAGAAAGGTCAAATGGTAAAGATAAAATCCCACACTATACCAGAGCGTCCTTTACCCAGCCTCACAGAGGAGCAGGATGCTGGAAGTTAACCCTGTTCAAGCACCTGCCCTAATTTTAGCTTAACTATCCTTGATAAAAGTCTTAATAAGTGTTACATACTTCCCCGCCATCTTACACTGAGACCACTGAACAAAAGCAAATTATTATGAGCATCCATCTTACACATAATACAGTGAGTTCTGCAGGGGGATATTAAGCTGTATAAGCTGAAATACAGACAGGGCTATCATCTCTCTGCTCTCAATGTGCCTGTCCACCCCTCACCCCTGTCCTTTATTCTCTACACACTTCACTCTCTTCCCCAGGGTTTCTTATTTGAGAGGACAGGACACCAGACAATCAGACTAATTTGAATTGCTTGTGAAGAGCCCCTGAGTGTGTGTCTGCAGGGGTAGTCAGGTGTGTTAGTTCTGGTGCAGGTGCGCCTGATCAGGAAGGTCGTATGGTTGAGGGGAAAGAAAAACATGGGCCCTGGAGTTGGAGAAATTGGGTTCAAATGCTGATGTCTCCATAGAACAGTTGAATGATCTTGGACTTGTGGACTCAACCTCTCCAAGCTTTAATTTCCACATTTGTAGAGTGGAAAGAATGTTAGTGCTTCCCAGGCTAGGGTTCCTATTCCAAATGAATGAGCTCATGTATGAAAAGAGTCTATCATAGCACCTGGCCCAAAATAGACCCTTCTAGCAAAGGTGAGCCCTCCTCCCTCCCTCCCCTCACTCGTAACATTTGATGGGGACTCTTCTTGGCTCTTAGCTGAGTTCGGATAGGTGATATCACCAGAGAAGCATTGTCTGCATGGGCACACGTCCACTCTGTGTCTTTCCTGGAACTTCGTTTTGTTTTTTTGTTTTTAGTTTTGCTTTTTAATCTTCACCCTCCCACTACACCAACCAAAACCTGACCCTTGATCGCCTGCGTTAGTTTTAGAGGTGGTTCACTTACCAGGTAAATGTACTTCGGAGGCAAGAAATAACAATCAATGAACTCAGGTTACTGCCTCACTCACCTTTACGCAAAAAGAACAGTGACTGAATTCATTCTTCTAGAGCACCGGAGGAGACGGTCTGTATACATGTAGTCTTCTCCCCAAGATTGACACCTGTCATGGATTTCCCAGAAATGGAATTGTTACACAGGAGGGAAGCTGAGCCTCAGGCAAAGGATTACCTGTCAGTGCTGTCCCAAGAGTGCCCAGACGAATATAGTCCCCACTGAATATTCCCTCCATCCATGTGTCCATCGCACAGCTATTAATACCCTGTAGTCATCTACATAAGTTCTCACACAGGAGAAGACATTTTACCTAGTGTAAACAAATTTATTCAAAGTATTGGTGTTATGCAAAGAGCCGAGGTCTGAGAAAACTTCAGTGTTTTGTTTATCGATTCCAAAGAAATAATCTGGAGAACTGGCTGTGAAAGACATGGGTTTACTAGGACTTACGTGCGCACCGGTGGAGGCCAGCTGGTGAAGTTTCCGCCACCCAACCTTTCTGAGTACAGGGTTATATAGAGTACAGAAAACAAAGCACGGGGCATGGGGCACAGGGTGGATGTGTGAAACCAAAATGCAAGCTGTTTCTCTGCAGTTGTTTATAGATAGCCCAGGCCCACATCTAGAAGCAGTTTTTCCCTTGACCAAGGAGCTGGCCAGGCTCCCAAGGTCTCACAGTCCTCCTACAGATGGCTTCACCATGTTCCCACAGGGTGGGAGGGAGAGAAGGAGCTTGGGAAGGGCCCGTGTTCTCACATACCACACAGTTGGCCTTGCTGGAGTGTTTCATAGAACTAAAATCATGTATGTCTGTATACATGGATGTGTGTAAACCAATATGCATATAGACAGGGCTTGCTCACTTGATACATATGAGCACTCAAGGGAAAATGTTCTTATTTTATCCTTAGAGAGATAGTTGCAACATTCTTAAATTTGATGACAAGTGTCAGTTATCTTGATGGCTTTGTAATGAAGTTATCTGATCATCTTGACCATTTTCCTGCTTAAGTTCTCATCTTCCCTTTGAAGTTGTAGACCGTTCTGGATTTATGTGATTCCACTTTACAAATTCATATCCTTTATACGTATATGAGTTAACAAAATCATTATGTGAGTTATGTTTGATAGTAAAAGTGATTTTAAATATTACAAATTAGCTGCTACATTGGTTTCATTGTACTCTTTTCCTTTTTATTGGAAGATTCAGATTTACTATGATCAGTGATCATGATTATATTGATTCTCTATTGCTGCATAATAAAATTCCCACAAATTTTGCAGCTTAAAACAGTAAATACTCATTTTCTCACCCAGTTTCAGAAGGTGGACAATCCAGGTATGGTTTTGCTGAGTCAGTGTGGCTCTCTCTGGGTTTCTTCTGAAGTTGCAGTCAAGCTGTTAGCCAGGGCTGGGGGTTGCAGAGTGGCTTAGTGGGGCTGGAGCATGTGTGCCAAGCTCACACACATGGCTATTGGCAGGAAGCTTCATTTCCTCGCCACAACGTGGACCTTTCTCCATGGGGCCACTGGGCTGCTCACAGCACAACACTTGCTTCCCCCAAAGCAAAGGACAAGAGAAAAAACGAGAGCAAGAGACATCAAGACCAATGCTGCAGTGCCTTTAACCAATCTCAGAAGTGTGACATCCATCACTTCTGCCATGTGCCATGGGTCACATAGACCAGCCCTGGTACAGTGACAGTGTAGGCTGCAACTGCCCAGGGCATGAGTGAGATCCCGGGGAACTATCTTAGAGGATGCCCACCACTGTGCTGTTTCATAATGTAATGGGTATACAACATATTATTTTTATATATCATCTACACATCTATATAAACATTACAAATTTCTCAATATCAGATGCTTGCTTCAAACATTAAATTATACTTGGGTGATTTTTCAAGTAGATATAATCATTTGTTTTTAAAAGTTCCTTAAACTTGGTTTATAATCCTCCATCACTCATTGTGTTTACATGCCTTTATATCAGATCCTAAAATCTGAGACATGGCCTCTCACGTTATAAATCCTGTTCTCTGTTACAGAGGAAGTGTTGTACTTACGACATCAGAGATGCGTGTCAGTAGAATGTGGGGAATCTGTGATTTCTCAATAAAATGAGTTTCTGTCTAGAGCGGGGAAGGCCAGCGGGTCCCAGCTCACTCTCTCAGGTGTAGTTGTTAAGGTTTCCGAGGCCCTGTTCACCTTCGCTGACATGTGCCTTGACTGACCAGAGGTGCCTGCTGTGCAGTGGGGCGGGGAACAGGCACATAGGATGTGTGCCATGGCTTTGCAGTTGTCGGTCTTCTAGAGCACATTACTAACACAGGAACTGTGCCAGGGTGGGCAGCAATAACGCAAACAGTAGGCTGGAGTAGCAAACAATGGCAGCATCCTCCCTCCCCACAGTCCTTAGGAGATGTTCAGTATTTAAAGCTTTGTTTTTATGACCCTGGAGGATAACTGGTTTCCAGTAGGCAGAGCTATTCTCATTTCTCTCCAGTCAGAGTCCATTAATGCCTCTTAAATGATGGTCTGAACTGGGGTAGGACAGCCCTTTGGGTTGTTCCCAGGTAGGAAAGAATGTGGATGAATAAAATTGTCGTCATCAGCCTGCTATATTAATTAAGGGCTAAGTTAGTGTGTTATCTCATTTAAAAAATAAATGTGCCTGGCCAGTGTGGCTCAGTTGGTCGAGCATCATCCCATGCACCAAGAGGTTGCCGGTTCAATTCCCAGTCAGGGCACAGGCCCGGGTTTCGGGCTCAATCCCCAGCAGGGGGCATGCAGGAGGCAGCCGATCAATGTATCATTCTCACACTGGTGTTTCTCTCCCTCTCCCCTCCTCTCTTTCTAAAGTCAATAAAAACATTTTTAAAAAATTAAAAACAGGAGAAAAATTGGAGGTTATATTTTCTTACCCACTAGCTTTATTTTGCAAGCAAAGCCTATTATAGGTAATTCTAATGTAATTAGAAATTAAGGAGATGTGAGAAGGGAGGAGAAGAAGGGATAGTTTCCAGACTGGAAATAAAAAGCTACTAGTT